AGGAAGCCCCATTGATTGGGAAGCTTTGCGCACAGTGGTACGGACACGGACTGCTCCAAGCCTCGAAATAGATTTGATCCTAAGCAAAGTGCTCCAACTTGCTCTCTGTCCCCCGCCATTTATGCTGATTTTTACAAATCGTGTGAAAAAATTCGATATTTAGCCATCATTGTCGCGCTTAATCTCCCTTTTTTTCGCTTTCCCAAAACATGCTTTATTAGCCCATAACCCACGGTCTGATGATGCAGCCACGTCGCGGTTGTCCAACTGACGGCTCACCAAGCAATCGCACATGTCCAGTCGCGGCCGACGCCACCGCGATGCCAGTCGGCGCCCGCGCGGCCACCTCGGACACCCAGCTGGGAAGCAAGGGCCGCGGGGGCCCAAAGAGATCGCGCGAGGGCCCCCCACGCGATCGCGGCCTCCCGTGCGCCGTCGCGGAAATCAACGGTCCAGGCAGAGGCAGAGGCAGGGCTCCCGACCCGACTCCCGTCGACCGTCGTGGCAGAAGACTCACAGCCTGACAGCAGGGGGGGGGGGGGGGGGGTGGGGTTGGTGAGGGCCAAGGGGAGTCCGCTTGAGGGGCCGCGCGCGAGCTCGACACGGGCGCGCCTTGTGTTGTGTCACCTGTCGCGCGCTGTCGACGTCGGGCGACCCACACCCGGCATCTTACCGCGGGGCCGCGTGCGTGCGAGCGTGCGTGTATATAAACGCCTGGCCCTGCCACTGTCCCGGTTGCAGCAGCTCCGCGCAGGCCCCTGGCACAAGCGAGGCATTGTCGCGGAATCGCGAGCGATCACGCTGGTCAGGAGCAGAGCAGGAACTTTCAGAGGTGTCGCCGCGCAGCAGCTTGGGGCTCGGAACGAACAACCATGGGGAAGGGCCGGGCACCGTGCTGCGCCAAGGTGGGGCTCAACAAGGGCTCCTGGACGCCGGAGGAGGACATGCGCCTCATCGCCTACATTCGGAAGTACGGCCACGCCAACTGGCGCGCTCTGCCCAAGCAAGCAGGTACGTACGGGAACGGGAGCCCCGGCCGCCGGCGGCGCTCCGTCATGGCATGGATTCCTTCTGCACATGCATGCAGGGGACTAGGAGTTAAGCTCAACTCTAATGGTTCTTCGATTCCATCCATAGGTTTGCTGCGGTGCGGGAAGAGCTGCCGGCTGCGTTGGATCAACTACCTCTGCCCGGACCTCAAGCGCGGCAACTTCACCGCCGAGGAGGAGGAGACCATCATCAAGCTCCACGGCTTGCTCGGCAACAAGTACGTACGGTGCATGCAGCGTTCCGACTTCGACGAGTTCAGCTGCACACGTCCTCTGGATACATGACGTCGAGACTGATCGAGTTCCGTTTGGGTTTTGTCTCTACTAGGTGGTCCAAGATCGCGTCGTGCCTGCCGGGCCGGACGGACAACGAGATCAAGAACGTCTGGAACACGCACTTGAAGAAGCGGGTGTCGCCGGCCGGCGGAGGGGAGGACCGCGGCGCCGCCGGGTCCAAGAAGAAGAAGAAAGCCGCCGCTGGCGGTGGAGCCGAGGAGCCGCTCCCGTCGCCGTCGCCGTCCTCGTCCACCACGACGACGACCAACTGCTCCAGCGGCGACGACTCCGGCGAGCAGCAGAGCAACACGAGCAAGGAGGAGCCGGACGACGACGAGCTGGACCTGGAGAACCTCGAGATGATGCCCATGCTCGACGACCCCACCTTCGGCTTCGACATGCTGGTGGACCCCGTGCCGCCGGCGCCGTACGGCCCGGCCGTATCCGTGTCCGTGTCGTCGCCCATGTCGCCCTGCGCCTCGTCCACGTCCCCGCCGCCGGCGCCGGCGTGCGCCCCGCCCGGCGTGGACGACCACCTGCTCGTGCTGCCGGAAATCGACATCGACCACGAGCTGTGGAGCATCATCGACGGCGATGGCGGCGCCTTCGCTTGCACCGTGGCCGCCGCCGAGGCACCGGCACCGGCGCCGTGCGGCCAGCTGAACAATGCGTCGCAGCCGCCGAACGGCGGCGCCAACACGAGCAGCCACGGAGCGGAGGAGGGAAAGGAGTGGTGGTTGGAGGACCTGGAGAGGGAGTTGGGCCTGTGGGGCCCCGTGGAGGACTACCAGTACCCAGTGGGCCCACATGGTCTGGTTGCTGACCACCCGGACCCGCTCACTGCCATGGTGGACGACCCAGTGTCCTGCTACTTCCAAGCGGGCCCGCCTCCACCATGCATGCTCCAGGAACCCGGATACTCTGCTGCTGCAGTCACAAGCAGTAACCAGATGGGGTTGTGAGATATGATTATCGTCGTCGTTCATTTGTGATTTTTAGATAGCAAATAGAAATCCTCAACAAACCAATTGTATGCCTGGCTGCCAACCATGTACACCAGCACCCTTATACTTGTATATATAATTGTACAAGTGCATAGCTCAAGAGGAGCAGAAACTCAATACGAATACGTCGATGGAACCATCACCGGCGTATTATATTATACATAAATAATAATACTAGTAAAAAGGGAGATCAGTTAGGCTAGTATCACATATACAAAAGATGCTATTTTTGGGCAGGCATGCAGTAATGAGCAATGCAGTCATAGATTCACAAAGGAGTCAATATTATCTCCGGTACTCACTGAGTTAGACCGTCTCAACAAGGAACCTATATGGACATCTAAATTCTTAAAATAGGTAGCAAGAGATCAAAAACCAGTCTCCAACAGAGTATCTATATGAGAGACCTATTTTGGGTTGTCTGAGAGGCACAACCCAAATATAGGCATCCTCTCTCCTAGAAACCCATTTGCAGAAATGATTCTCTTTTGGATCTTGTTGTTGGAGAAGATACCGAATAGATATTGAACCTTTTGCCTGTAGCGCTATCCAAAATACGAATGGGTCTTATATTTTGAGTGTTGTCGTTAGAGATAGCCTTAGCCCAAGATGTAAGGCCTTGTTTAGTTACCCCAAAATTCAAACTTTGGCACTATAAAAAAAAAGATTCTCCGTCACATCAAACTTGCGGTACATGTATGGAGTACTAAATGTTGACAAAATCAAAAACTAATTGCACAGTTTGGTTGTACTTTGCGAGACGAACGTTTTGAGCCTAATTAATCAACGATTAGACAATTATTACCAAATACAAACGAAATACTACAGTACGCTACAGTAATTCCGACGGTGTCAACTTTGGGCAACTAAACAAGGGCTAACCTACCTTCAGTTGCCACTTGCCAGTTGGTATATATATAAATATACTATAAAACAATGACTGTAAGTACAGTACAGTACTGATGAGTGAGTACTTGTAGTATTATATGTTATCTAGTTTTTCAGTCTGACTGCAGCTGCAGCCTGCACCTGCAAGCAGTGAAGTGTTTGGATGACGTCAGCGTGATGCGTGCGTTCCTACTACCATTTTTATCCGGTCCAATCGCTGCGGCTTTGGGCTTTAGACTTCGCACGCAATGGACGTCCAGTTGTGTCGTGCCTTTTTGACATTGTGACGATGTAGCCTTTTCTGTATTTTCCTCGCCCATCCAGTCGCCCGCGTTTCTCATTCGCTAGCTGCTCGTGTTTTTCTACTCGATGTGCCATAGTCCTGTTCACACACTCCACAGGCCATGCGCCCATGCCTTTAATTTGGTCGAGCAAGTTGCATGACTGGGGTCTGGGGATCGGGACGTCACCATAAAACACGATAAGGAAGTAGGTTACCTACCAAGAGGACTAGAGGAGGTACGTGTGTGCGTGTCATCATTGGGTCGTCGTAACTCGTACGCTCGATATCACAGATTCACAGGTTGCTAAGGCGTGGACAGTGGCAAAGTATGTCGCAAAACAAGAGGCCACAAACAAAACTACAAGTCGAATACCACAGTGTTCTTCTAATAAGGAGCATAAAAGACTTGGGCTTGTTTGGTTTAAGCTGCAATTTTTGGGTCTTTTACGCAAAAGCTAGTTTTCTGTGGTTTTTTTATTCTTAGTGGACCAAAAGTAAAAAAAAAAGCCTATCTTTACATGATTTTCAACTTTTAGTTTATTTTTCTCATAAATCAACTTTTGTTTCAGCTAAACCCTAGATTCTTTTGTTTCAGCTCGTGGCTTCTGACTAACAGAAGCCATAAAAGAAACTGAAACAAACAAGTCCTCACTGCCATATGGAATCCACGGTGGCCACGGGCCTCGCCCTAGCAAAGACCAAAGAAGCCGTATGCAAGATCTATGTGATCCATGCACCGTTATACTCCTTTCGTCCACAAGTGAATGCAATTCTCACATTTCGAGAAGTTAAATGATTTGAATTCCGACCTAAGTTATGTAAAAAGGTACTAAGAATTATTATACAAAATAAGTAACATTAAATTAATTATGAAATATATTTTCATAGTAAACCTAGTTGAGACATAAATGATAATACTATTTACTATAACTTGATTAACGTTAAGATAGCTTGATTTGTATAAATCTCATAGTTGCGTTCTTTTATGGACGAAGGGAGTACAGATGTAAGTTGAGTACCATGCTGCCGCTAGCAGGAGAGGAGACATCATAATTTGTGGTAGAGGAGTACATGCTACTGAAATTAATTAGCAAATTATTTTTTTTGTTTCGGTCAATATTAATATGTTTTATATTTCTATTTTTACTATCTTTGTTTTCGGTTTAAGTTTTATTTAGCACCTGTTTATTTGAGCTTTTACCAGAAGCTTTTGAAAGTTTCTTATAAAACGGGTTCTTTATTTTGATCTTATTTAAAAAGCCGTGCAGAGGCCAATAGACGCCCAAATAAACTGGGCCTTAGTCTCTTTTCTAGGCCTGTCATCTACCGGTAACTCATGGTTCAACCTGATGGGCCGTATTCGCATTATAGCCCATCTTACTCTCTCCTCAGTCCAGAAACAAGCACGGACCCAATAACAACCCCGAAGGGGGCGTTTGCTAAAAACGGGAAACCCCGAGAGCCGACACGTACGACACCGGGACAGTTCGAGCTGGAGCCATGGAGCCAGCAGCGTCCGCCAGCGCCGCGTCGGCGCGGCCGATGGAGCCCCATTGTGCGCCAGCCCCGCAATCCTCGGACGAAGCTTCCTCGTCCTACTCCGCGTGTCTCCATGCTGATTTGAGGCCGGTGGCGTGCGATGCGAGCGGCGAGGAGGGCGTCCTCCACGACCTGGACTCCCAGTGGGCGGCGGCAGCCGAGGCGTAAAGGATACTGGGGAGGCGGCGGCGGTAGGTCCTGCAGCGGTACTTAAAATTAGGGGTCTGAAAGGAAGAAGCAGAAACCAGTGAGTATGAACCAGCAAAGCAGGGAGAGGAAACGTTAGCTCCCACCGCTAAGGCAGCGACAACAAAGGCCAGACCTTATTCATTTGTCTTATAATCTGTATTTGTAGTTTTTTTTTAGACAGAATAGTATTTTTCTCTAATAACAAATCAGCTGAAACCGCATTTCAGCTTGTTTTTTCAGCGAAACGAACGGGGCTACAGGAAAGAGAAGAAAACTGCTGACAAAGAAACAACTAAAGAGGGAGAGATAGCAACAAAGGAACCTGCAACAATACCAAGGACATCAAGGACCAGAGCAGCAACAGTAAGGGAGGCAGCAGCTAAGGAAGCACAGGAAGGAGCTGCAGGTCAAGTTGTGTAAGGATCAGCAGTGCAGATGGATCAAGCACCAGACAGAAAAAGGTTTGTTACTTCCATTTACATCAACCAACCACTAATGTACTATGAGATACACAAGCAACTAACTAATTATTTACTTGTCGGAGGCTGGACTTGGATGAACCAGTGCAGATGAAGCTGCAGCCGATGAACCAGTGCAGATCAACCAGCCACTGAAGATAGTACCAGCAGATGAAGCTGCAGCAGTACAACCAGCCACAAAAATGATCACAAGGAAGAAACAGCTAGTTACTGTTTACGAAGAGAAATGTGTAGACACGCGCACTACTGCCATTTCGCGGCTCGCGGGAAGTTTCGTTTCGTTTGTCTGAGTGGTGTGTACATGTTTGCCCACGTTTTTGACTGACCGTCTTGTAGCACCTGCTACTCGTGCTTCTCACCGGTCGCCACTCTATGTACTACTACATCTGCAGCCTCTTTTAAAATGTCGAGATTTTTTTCTTATCTTATACAAATTCTCTTTTGAAACAAACGAAAATCGAACCTCGAGCAAGAGAGGATTGGGCACCTGTCCTATAAAATTTATATGAGGACTTGTTTTACACGAATTTTACTAAGGTTGAACCTCATGAAAATTTTCTTTTATGTTACTCATTCTCGTTGAATACGTGTGTATTCAAGATTCAAGATGTTCTAAAAGATTGAATCAACAACATACCAACGTGTTATTTTCAGAAGTCATTTATGGATAAGCCACTTACCAAAAATTTTATCTGCAAAATTTTTTATTGGCAAAACCATTTTTTATAAATGCACATGCAAATTGATAGCATGATCATGTTATTTAGCCACGACCATATTTGATTCTGTATATGTTGGCTGGATCAAAATTTCTAACTCACAGTCACCTTCCAGCAAGATTTTTAACTCATCAAGGCTGTCAACAGATAAGTGAGGGAAGAGACAGAGGCATAATTTATATCTGTAGCAACAGAGTCACCACCTTCCTTGAGCTAGAGCGTTGGCATCCTCATGGGTTACAGGCTCGCCTTCTTCATGCTTGATTCCTCTATTTGAGTCTTCTGGAGGTGTACAATTAAGTTCTAGGAAAACATTTGCTGTCATGAGATGAATTGCAGATCCACCACCCCATTTCACACCTATAGAACTAGAGGGAGGTCAACTGGTGGAGGGTGATCATGCTTGGGGAGCTCACTTAGTGATCACATCTAGGGAGCTCTACTTTCAGTACAATCCAGTGAGGCTAGGTGGCCATCGCAGGGGAGCTGGGCTCATGAGCAAGTGGTGTGATATGAAGAAATGGATCACGCGCTGCAGTGATGGCTTCTTGGCATCTGCAACGAGATGCTCCGCAGGAAAGATGAAATTACCGGTGTACGTAGGTTCTTCGTGTATTTTTTTTTAAAAAAAATATTGTGGTGGTGTGCTCATTGTCACCTGCAAAACCACAAGTTGCTTGTGATTAACTTCAGTGGCAGAGGGACAGAAGTGATACAACCCACAAGTAAATCACGTTAGGATTGGGTCATGGTTTTCGACCCATTGACTCGACCGACCCCAAAAAAAAAAAATCAACCCAAAGTGCAAAAACTCGAAAAAATAGTCTGACCCAATCCAACCTGCCAGTGTGTCCTGTTAGACTCACGCCAAAGATTTTGACTCGTCAGTTTTTCCAACCTCGTGTTTGATCGAGTCTAATCCACACTTTACCTTAATCTCTGCTAAAAATCACATAACGACTTATTATAAATTGGAATGGAAAACTCACTCCATGCGTCCCACGATATATCAAGACGTGCACGATTCAACAAGTACGGGAGAGAAACAAACGTGGACACCCCGCGTGAGCGCTGCACGACGTCGGGCGCCAAACTCGCGCTCCACACGTGCACGATCTCATATTCTAATTGCTACTGATACACTCAGTCAATCAACTGAACGAAAGAATAGGTGCCGAACAAGGCATGAAGTAATCCAACAAATAGATATCTTCACGCCATGGTCCTTTCTTCTTCTTAGAGTTAATTATTACTTGGGAGCTTCCACGGAACCTTTCTGCTCCTTGATATACTTTGTGATGGCCTTAGCAATAGTAGCTAACCCATCGGTACTGAACACAGGGGGTGTGTCTGCATGCTCATCATTGACTTCGTATTCCATTGTTGATCTTATGATGGATGTCTTCTCTTCTTTTCCGATAATCTGGATTCGAACCATGTATTTCTGAAAGCCATGATCTAGAACGCCTCCTTCAGTAACTATTGTCTCCTTGATGTAGTTTTCATTGTCAACCTTGATGAACTTTTCTTTGAAAGTTTCTGATCCAGGAGTTCCTAGCAACATGAATGACAAGAAAAGTAGGCAAAATTACTTGGAGCTGAGACAGCATCATCGTACATCAAAGAAGCACATGTTTTCAGTTTCAGGTTCTAACCTGGAGGGAAGGTAATAAGCAGGACTGATCCAGCACCGCCATCTCCCTCTAAAAGTTCAACCTTTGAGACCACTTCAGGAAGCAGTTGGGGCATCAATTTCCCAAAAAGGAGAGTTCCATAGACACCCCACACGTCGGCGGCAGGGAGCCCGGTCTCAAACTCATGGCAAATGCTCCCTTTCATCGCTTTGAGCTCTGTAGACATGCTAAGGTATCCCCAATGTGAGTTATATATCGAGACTTCTCTTCTGTGGAACTTGCACTTGCAGGCAGAAGGAAATGAGATTTTATAGCCGATCGAGATCTTGAAATGTCTGCGACACCCGAGGAACGTGAGAAGTCAGAAGAGTGTCAGCAGAGAACTCTAGTTTAATATACTTAGCCATATGGTATTGTCAACCATACTCTGCCATTTTGGACTAATTGGCTTTGACCTGAACATCTTGTAAGAAAAACTTGGCTTAGCTGTTATTTTTTTCAGAACAAGAGCTTATATTAATCTAACATCAGCATTACAGTCATGCTGGATACATGCTGCAATGACTGCAGATCCCACAAAATGCAATGGAACGATCAAATGGCAATCATTTGTTCATTACCGTATTGTATCTGTTCATTGGTAGATACAATCTTCACCAATGGAACATATACACGATATCATCCTTTCTTGGGAGCTTATTCAGGACCCTTCTTCTGCTTGATATATTCTGTGATGGCCTTAGCAATAGTAGCTAAACCACTGGTACTGACAACAGGGGGGGTGCTTGCATACTCTTGATCAACTTCATATTCAATAGCTGATCTTATGGTGGCTGTCTTCTGTTCTTTTCCTAGATGATGATTGCTAAGGTAGCGATAACATGCATAAAGTGCACTGAGAAATAGTATAAAGACATTCATTGCCAACATTTTGCCAATGGAACTACCATGACAAAAAAATCATGAGAAGTTGGTAGACAACATTTTTTTTCCGTGACCGTGCTTTAGCACGTTTTTCATTAAGCAGAAGCAAAGTTTGTTACAACTTTTCCCGGTCACAGTAATCCATTGATTACCGAGAGTCAGACCCAAAACACCAAAGCGCACGAGGTTGTAATTTACGCAGGAAACACTGGCGACAAGCTAAGACGGGACTAGCTAAACTCGCTATCAAAGCAACATCAGCAGCGACCTCAAACACCTGTACCTGGCCAGGCACCACTCATTAGCCTCCTCCTCAATGCTTGCTGCAAGCTGCATCGGCGTTGTAGCGACTCTGTTGAAGGTTCTAGCATTTCTCTCCTTCCATAGCCTCCAGCTGATCAGGAAGAAGAATGAATCGAAGCGACCCACTTGCTTAGGGATAAGCTTTCTGCTGCGAAGCCACCACTGCAAGGCGTGCTCATCCTGAAGGCCATGCTTTCATCGAGGTGCAGCTTCCTGAGCCAAATCAGCCAGACCTCTCTACTGAAGATGCAACAATGCAGAAGATAATGCATCATCTCGGTCGCCTGATCGCAGATGATGCAACAGTCGGAGTCCTGAAGTCCATGGCGGAATCTTCTCTCTGCCGTCCAACATCTCTCGTGCATCACGACACAACAATGGTCGCTATCCACCAGACATGTCAAGTTCACCCCAATATTAAAAACATTCTTTCTGTAGTATAAATCATGAAAACGATGATAGTAGAAAAAGTAGAGGCACCCCCATGAAACATTATCAATTCTGCACATTAGTCACCCTGTCCTAGTCTAAAATTGCAGAAGGCACACCCATGAAACGTTATCAGTACTATACATTGTTCATGGTATAGCAAGGTATCTATAAAACAAAAGGAGGTATCTGGCCAAATTTTTGCATACAATTGGCTCCATGTAAATTTTTGCATACAAAGGGTTTGTCTTCTTGAGCCCAGGCCTTGGCTGGTGTCGCAAGCCAGGCAGGAGCCAAGGCCCGCGCTTGGACGTGTCGTCGGTTGGGAGCCTGAGGCCCGGGCAAGCCGCCGAGCCCTGTGCATGGGCCGCACCGTGCCCAGGCTCGGTCAGGTTTCTTGGTCGGAGGGTGCGCACGAGCATACCCAATGGGTATACCCCTGAGCCTCGGGCGATACTAGATGGGTCGGACGGGGGTCCCTTCGGTTGGAAACCATTGATCCCAAGGCTTAACATACCCAAATGTTAGGATCTCGTCACTCGGGCACAAGAAGAGACGCCTCGAGCCATTAAGGCTTGGGGGCTCCTCGATGCAGCACTTTGGGTGCGGCCTTGCTGGCCACTCCCCTGACAAGGTCACGCACGGGCGTGACACAAGAAGATAAGCTCTCCTCAGCCTCTGGGGGCTCTGAGGCTTCCGGCCCCGCGTGCCAGCCCCTCGAGCCAACCTTCCTCGCCACCAAGAAGACTCCAGAAGGTGCGCCCGGGGAGGCCGGTCCAAGCCGACATAGCCTGACACTCAGTGTATCAGAACAGGCCGGCCATATGATGCCCAAGGCTTCTTCGACTCCACGACATCGCCACAGTCCACCCGAGCCACCGGAGACACGTACTCTGACACCGACTCGAACAACAATGCTTGTCATGGTTCTAACCCCGTGACACCAGCCATGTACTATGTTTGTGCTGCATATGGTGGAGGACAACGGCCGTCTTTGCGAAGTTTGGGTGGAACTTCGCATTGAAGCCTAGTTCTTTTTGTTGTTACCCCTGTTCCTAGTTGAGTTGAACCGTGTGTTGTTGTTTTTATGTCTCTTGGACGTGAGAGTGTGTGCCTTGTGGCCTTGGTTTGTACCGACAATCAGCTATGTATCATCCTTTGATGGTAAAGGCTGGAACTTTATTCCATTATCTAAAGTTAGTTGAGACAGCTTAAATCAGCCCAGTTGTTATTAGGTTGCAATTTGCTTCTTCGCTCTTTTTCATATATGATCATTAGATAGTTGTGATATCAAAAGGTGAAAAGATTGTTTCACTGACTCCAATGGCCAATTTTCAAGACAAAACAAGGTCGCGGCGGCACTCTCCTGATCATGGTGACTGATACACGCATTCCTCGTGATTGCAGCTTCTACTTATGCTTCCTCTCGTATTCGCCTATGTTTCCCATGTATTATGTATGCACATACATCCATGCATAGTGAAAAGATGCAATCATGAACTACCATACATACGTCTACACCCAAGAGCATAGCATTATTAGTTGACTAGCAAGTAGTAACAACACCATTTGATGATCGGACGAGGCTGAGCATCCTTTGTGTGGTTGATAATATGGTCTATAGACGTGACCGTCGCTCGAAGACTAATACGAAGCTAAAAACGATGGAGCTCTATCTATTATCTAGCACCAAGCTAGACAGATCCATGCCAGCACCATAGGTCCGTGTGTCTGCAGCGGTGGTGCACGGCCGCACGGGCGGCCTGCCTACGTAGACCTGCCTAGCTTACCCTTAGCGATGGGAGTGGGCACTAGGGACACGGGCAGTGGCATGTGGCAGACAACTAGGACAACAACACTTCACGCTTTTGCAAGTAATTGATTTGTCCTCGGCGATAAGATCTAGCTAGAACCTTAGGCTATTTTAGTTCGCGAAATGAAAATTTTTGGATGTCACATCGGATGTTTCGAGAATGTCGGAAGGGTTTTTGGATACTAATAAAAAAACTAATTACATAGCTCACCTGGAAACTACGAGACGAATTTATTAAGCCTAATTAATTCATCATTAGTGCATGTTAGTTACGGTAGCACTTATGTCTAATCATGGACTAATTAGTCTTAAAACATTCGTCTCACGATTTCTAACCAAAATGTGCAATTAGTTTTTTTTCGTCTATATTTAATACTCCATGCATGTGTCGTAAGATTTGATGTGATAGTTTGGGGTGAAATTTTTTGGAACTAAACCAGGCCTTAGCCTCCAGCGATGCTTCCGTCCACCTACCACGACCACTGCCTGTTCACTCTAGTTCCAGTCATGCTAGCTTATATCTGGTTCTCACCTTAGGACACCATTCTCGAACCTCTAGGTGATTTTCTACGCACAGCGAAAACCTAATTAAAAAAAAGCATCATTGGTAGGATTGCTCTGGTCGGCAATTAAAAAAAAAGGGCGAACAAGAGACAAAAACGATTAGGGAAAATGGTGTTTTTGTCCCTTACACAGATGTGCAATTGTGATTTTACCCTCGTTTTTCTAACTTTGTGATTTTGCCCTTCACTATTCATAAGTCAACGTGATTTTGCCCCTAGTCAACGCGAATTTGCCCCTGTTTTTACCGTTGATCAGGGGCAAAATCGCGTTGACTTATGAACAGTAAATGGCAAAATCACAAAGTTAGAAAAACAAGGGCAAAATCACAATTGCACATTAAAGTAGGGGCAAGAACACAAGAGCCCCAAACAATTAATTGGCTGATTTGCCATCACATCGTAGCAGCACATTTTTTTAGATTCAAGAATAAAAAGTATTTCAGCCTCCCACATCCACACATGAATGAGTATGGCCATTCAATATAATACAAAGGTATTTAGACCATGCTCTGCTCACGTATCCATTCCGTTATGTAATATAGTGTATTTTAGAAATTTAAGAACAAATTATAAAGAAATCCTTATTTCATTTTCTGTTCAAACGCTATCGTTAGCAATGATTAATAGAGATTAGTCGATAAATGATAAGATATATTATCTATCAAATTTGTGCTACTGCTTAATGCAAAACTATCTCTTATCCTCCAAGATTCCTTATATTTGGTGGCAATTTTTTAATATTTAAATGCATAATTTTTTAGTATGGAGGTAGTATTTTTTTATAGGTTCTTTATGTTCTAATCCAGCGGGTCAAATAAAATTTACTAGGAGAGCATGTGCCCGGACACCCTTCACCATAACCGTCCACGTCTGCTATCAAGAATAGTACCTGTGAAAACACATAGCAGCGAGAGAACTGAATTTGTCAGGGAGCACGATTATTCCACCATCTTAATAAAGCTCGGCACCGAAGTGAATAATGAATGAAACTTAGCTAGTCCAAGCCGCCTAAATCGAGCACAGCAGGACGACTTAGGTTTTGTTTGGTTGAGCTATAGTTGTGGGAAAAAGCTGCTGTGGGCTGTGAGCTGTGGAAAAGCTATTGTTGGCTGTGAGCTGTAGAAAAGCTGAAAATTATTTGGTTAAACAAGTATAAAATATACCTTTTATCTT